AAAAATCCTTGCCTGGACACAAGCCTATGAAAGATAGGTTTACGCTTGTGCTGTGTTCAAATGCGAGTGGCGATTTAAAAATTAAACCCTTGCTAGTGTATCATTCTGAAAATCCAAGGGTTTTCAAACAGTATAATGTGCAGAAAACCCGTTTGTCTGTGATGTGGAAGTCTAATAAAAAAGCATGGGTGACTAGGCTTATTTTTTCGGAGTGGGTGAATGAAGTGCTGTGCCCTGCCATAGAAAAATATCTGCAGGAGAAACAATTGCCACTCAGAGCCGTGCTTCTCCTTGACAATGCTCCTGCTCATCCTCCAGGCTTGGAAGATGATTTGATGCCTCAATGCAATAAATTCCTCACAGTTAAATTCCTTCCTCCTAACACCACTCCTCTAATTCAGCCTATGGACCAGAAAATCATAGCGAATTTTAAGAAACTGTATGAAAGGGCACTTTTCCGGAAATGTTTTGAAGTGACTGAAGCCACAAACCTCACCCTCAAAGAGTTCTGGAGAGAGCATTTTAACATTTTTAGTGCTTTAAAACTCGTTGACAAAGCCTGGCAAGAAGTGACTCAAAGAACCCTGATCTCTGGCTGGAGAAAATTGTGGCCTGAAGGTGTGAGAGAACTAGACTTTGAGGGGTTTGAGCCTATAAATGATGCGCCTATTGTTGAGGAAATTGTTAGTCTAGGCCAGAAAATGGGCTTGGAATTGGATGGTGATGATGTGGAGGAGTTGGTGGAAGAACACAACGAAGAACTGACCACCGAAGAACTCCTAGCCCTTCAACAGGAACAGGAAGCCAACACAGCAGCGAATGATTCTGCAGTGGAGGAGGAGGTGGTGGCAACAGCACCAGCGAATGTCCCTTCTGCAGTAATGAAGAAGGTGTGTCAGATGTGGGAAGAGATTCAAACAACTATTGAACACACTCACCCAGACAAAACTGTAGTAGGCCGTTGTCTTAATCTTTTCAATGACACTGTGATGCCTTACTACAGAGAGAGCTTGCGAAGAAGGGAAAAGCAAGCTTTCATGGACAAATATTTGGTGAAGAAATCGAGCAGTGAACCTCAACCAGGACCTAGTGGCACTCAGGTTAAACGTCCCAGGGAGAGCACACCAGAAAGGTCCTCACTGCCTGATGTGATTATGGAAGGGGACTCCCCTTCCAAACACTAACTCCTCTCCTCCTCCCCCCTCCTCACCATCTTCCATACGCCTACAGCACTCGACAGTAAGGTAAGTAATAACTGGAACATACTTTTGTAGGTTTATTTAGATGAATTAGGTATAAAAATTTAGTTTGATGTGGGGTTTTTGGGGTAGTCAGGAACGGATTAATTCATTTCCCTTTATTTCTTATGGGGAAATTAACTTCGGAATGCGAGTTTTCGGAAGGCGAGGCGTCTCCAGGAACGGATTAAAATCGTATTCTGAGGTATGCCTGTATATATCTCTCTCTCTCTCTATATATATATATATATATCTCTCTCTCTATATATATATATATCTCTCTCTCTCTCTATATATATATATATATCTCTCTCTCTCTCTATATATATATATCTCTCTCTCTATATATATATATATATATCTCTCTCTCTCTCTATATATATATATATCTCTCTCTCTCTATATATATATATATCTCTCTCTCTCTCTATATATATATATATATCTCTCTCTCTCTCTCTATATATATATATATATATATATATATATATCTCTCTATATATATATATATATCTCTCTCTCTATATATATATATATATATCTCTCTCTCTCTCTCTCTCTATATATATATATATATATATATCTCTCTCTCTCTCTCTATATATATATATATATCTCTCTCTCTCTATATATATATATATATATATATATATATATATATATATATCTCTCTATATATATATATATATATCTCTCTCTCTCTCTATATATATATATATATCTCTCTCTCTCTCTCTCTCTCTCTCTCTCTCTCTCTCTCTCTCTCTCTCTCGGGGCCATTGCTCCTCGCGCCTCTCTGAGGGGGCCAGATTCTGGCTCATGGTCCCCGGGAGGCCCAAAGAACTCCATACACATGACTGATGCCAAAGTCTGACATTAGCAATATCAGCCTGGATAGCTCCGGGGAGCCTTCCGGGTCTCACCCAGAAAATGGCATTTCATTACATTCAACGCTGGGTTTTTTTTTCCAGACTTCCCCGCCCTATTGCAGCCAAAATATGCCACCTACTATTTTTTTTAGTATTTTACCCGTGATCAGAGAACACAAATGAACACTTTTATAAGACGAAATAATTTTTCTATTTTTGTTTTTGCCTGTGGGTGTTGAAGGCCAAATAGCCCAGAGCAGCTTAGGGGTTAACTTCAGAGAGCTACTGAGGGCTTCACTCCCAGAAAATATAAACATTTTACATGTCACTGGGCAAGACTCCAAGCAACCTAGACTATTTACATTTAGAAATGAGGCAGAAGAGAAGATCACTATTATTGAGTACAAATGACATCCTATCTTTAGATTATATTTCATAAAATACCAAGATATTACCTGAGCAATTTCATCCCACACTACTCTGTTATCAACTGTAGGAGCAATAAAACGACCGATGCAGTCTTTATATGCTCGAAGAAGAGATCTTGAACCATTGGTTGGAAATCGTTCTGAAAAATTTAATCTCTCTTAATATCTTCAAACATAATCAATTCATAAGCCAGGCTTTATGAAACAAACTATGACTCATGAAAAGCATAAACATAATGAAATACAGAAGGTCTCTATTCAATGAAACTTTTATTTTTTTATAATTCCTTTCTTTGTTACTAAAATTTTGCTAATATTTTTGGGAAAGCCTCTTGTGGCTCTCTTAAGTTATCTCACTGAGATGACCTCAACTACTAGACCACATCAGCTGTGGAGATGAGTTCAGCAAACTGAAGACCAGACCCAGAACCTGGCCCCTTCAAAGGTTGGCCAGTTTTGTTTTTGATTCAGCTACTCGGAACAAAAAGTTCCAAGTAGCACGGGCTATGGTGAGCCTGTAAGTGGAGGCTCTTTGGAGTCATTATCTGTATCAATAGCTGATATTAGAGCTCTGGGGGATGGATGGGGGTCTTCAAGGTGGTTTTTGACCATGGAGGGCTGGCCATGAGACTTTGGCTGAACCGTGCTGTCGTTGGAGTTTAGCGAGGTGGCTTTCATAAGGTCTTGTACAGAGTAGGTGTCATATTTGTGGCGGCTGTGGAGCTCCTACTAAGATTTCCTCGTCTGAGGAGTCCGTAGTTGGTATTTTTGTCTTTCCTCTCGCAGCCTGAGGTAGACTCAGGTGTCATGGACTGGTGGTAGAAGCTATTTCAGGAGAGTTTTGTGGTGCTGTTAGCATTTGTAGACAGCACGTCTGTTAGCGCGGCTGCTGAGATGGTTATGTTATGAGTGTTGGGAGCTGGAGATACCTCTGTTTATGAAAATACCTCTATGCTGCCCTGGTCATGGGTGTTTCTGGAGTCTGTGTTGAAATCGACCTCGTGGTCATCCTGGTGGTAGTCTCCGGAGTGGTAGTGCAGGCAGTGAGACTTGCGCCAGGGGCTATGATGGGGTCCAGGCCATCGGCAAGGTATAATGTGTTCAGTTCACTGACAAAACGGTGGTTGTCTGGTCCGGCAAGTCTCTCCACTAGTCTAATGAGACCAGGAATAATGCCTGCACGTGATACAGAGGGCTGCGAAGGAGCCTGTCAGGCCTTGGGTCCCCACTGTGAAGGCCGGGTCGCCTGGTGGGAGGGGCCACACTTTGGTAAGACTGGAAAGTCTTCTGGTTGGTTGGTGGGAGCTGAGGTGGTGGGTTGAGCGCCTGGGGCTCTGGTCACGAAGGTAGAAGGGATTTTTCTCTTGGCTTCAACCTGGGCCTTGATGTTTTCCTGTCTGCGTAGGCAGTGGGAGGAAATTGTGGAGTGATTGCCATCACAGAGCAAGCAGCAATGGGCTGTTGCCTCACATATGGTCCAGTGTGCACAGGCTGCACTTTTGGATGGGGTGCTTACACTTGTTGGTGGGGTGGGAGAGTTCGTAGCACTTGAAACACTGCTGGATCTCATGATATTGTTCCTTTTTTACTTGGGATAAGCCCCAAAATCATCTCAAAATAGCCTCAAGATGATAAGTAAAAGAAGGGACTTACCCAGGAGGCGGCAGCACTGCAGGTCTCAAGACAAAGAAAGGAGAGACCGCAGCGACAGGTGCCCCAAAGCCACATACGGCCGGGAAGGAACTGGAATGGTCACTAGATACCTGGCGGCCAGGACCCTGTTCATCCTCCAAACCCACGCGCCCAAAAGTCTACCAAGACATGTTGCCAAAAAAACTTTGCAAGAGCAGTATACTTCCTAATGTCATGAGCACGAGGGTGACCACAAGCTGTGTAGACTTGATGACACTGCGGACAACCTGAGACAAGCCCTAGAACAGGGAACTAGGGAAACCGGATACACCCTATCTTGAGAGGTTATCTTGAGATGATTTCGGGGCTTTAGCGTCCCCGCGGCCCGGTCCTCGACCAGGCCTCCACCCCCAGGAAGCAGCCCGTGACAGCTGACTAACACCCAGGTACCTATTTTACTGCTAGGTAACAGGGGCATAGGGTGAAAGAAACTCTGCCCATAGTTTCTCGCCGGCGCCTGGGATTGAACCCAGGACCAAAGGATCACAAGTCCAGCGTGCTGTCCGCTCGGCCGACCGGCTCCTCCCTAAGTGCATCCACCATCACAGAACCAGTGACCCGCAGGTAGTGGCATAAAGCCCCCACTGGACAGAACATGTGATGCACCCCCTGACCTAACCAACCAACGGATCCCTCCAGAAGCCAGCTGTCTCATTCTTTGCTAGAAAAGAAGAAGGCTGCATACGAACAAAACGTAGTAAGTGGAATTTGGTATTTATTTTTACATAGACATGTTCAGGGAAGGGAATTTATCATTTTACGAAGAACAAAGAATTTTTTGGGAACACTATTTCATGCGCACCAGGAGAATTTCACAATAAACTCAGCGCAGCACGGTGGTTAATGTGAGAAAACCCAACACTAAGAACACTACAGCCTTTATCATCTTTCAATTCTTATGTATGAGTGTGTTTCCATCTCAGACGGCTTCAGATATAGGAACCAGATACTGTAATTGAAATACTAACAAGAAACCAAATTATCAAACAATTGTAACTTTTTGTCAGTACATTATAGTCAAGTATTCCTGTAGTAAAGCACAAAGGTAATTGTCTTAAAAGTATCTCACCCATTTTTACCGAGCGTCCTTTCTTCTTCTCATAATACTGCCGGCGCTGTGGAACATACTTAACTAGCTCTTCCAGGTCTCTTTTGTAAGCCATAGAACGTGGTTCAACATTTGGTATGAAATTGTAGTCTACAATTGTCTTAAACATGGTCACCATATTTCGCCACCTTCCCTCGACCATATTTATGTTAAATCTGAAATATAATTTGATAGAAAAATTATGAATGCTAAATAGTAGTTTTCATATGTTATTTATACAGTGACACCATATAAATCCAAACTTTCCTGTAACAGATCCTCCTAAAATTAACTAAATTCAGCAACCAGATTTTTCCCCTACAAATTTTTTTCGACAAAAACCAATGTGAAATGTAATGAAACGTCTGTTTCTGGACAAGCCCCGGTGGCTCCCAAAAGCACTCTCGGTGAGATTGCTCGAAGCTACAGTGGCACCTCGACATACGATTGCCCCTGTATGTAATATTGTAGAAAATGTATTTTACTATTTTTGGGGGGTGTGGTACGGATTAATTTAATTTACATTATTTCTTATGGAAAAATTAATTTCGGTTGATGAATTTTTGGACGACAATGTGTCTCTGGGAACGGATTACGATCATGAACAAGGGTACTACTGTATATGATTTGTGTATACATCCACATTACATAGGGCTACTATATAATCCTTGCGGAACAGCTGGGAGGTGCTGTGGGAGCCGGTCGGCCGAGCGGACAGTACACTGGACTTGTGATCCTGTGGTCCCGGGTTCGATCCCGGGCGCCGGCGAGAAACAATGGGCAGAGTTTCCTTCACCCTATGCCCCTGTTACCTAGCAGTAAAATAGGTACCTGGGTGTTAGTCAGCTGTCACGGGCTGCTTCCTGGGGGTGGAGGCCTGGTCGAGGACCGGGCCGCGGGGACACTAAAGCCCTGAAATCATCTCAAGATAATCTCAAGATAAACAGATTCACAATGGCTTTGGCTCAGAAACAGTTGGTAATCATAAATAGTAATAATAAATAAACATGAAGACAAACACACATGTAATGCCCACAATTAAAAATTACAACTCAAAAAGTTAGAAGTTAAAATATTATGTGGACAGTACCTGTGTCCCTCACTGTTCAGATTTTCTGTTATTTTCTGCCATCTGCTGTATCCAATTCTGATAATCTTATTTTTTTGGTTTTCCAATTTAATACGATGCATTTGTTTAAGAAGACTGTGTGTAGCATCCTTATCCCAGTCACCTGCAACAGAAAATCTATTTTAGAAGCATTACCTCTATAGCTTCAAAAGCATCCTTCAGCCCAAGGTTGAAATACACCCAAAAGCTTAGCATTAAATTAAATGAAACACTTCTTTCTGGTAATGCAATGGTGACTCCCTCAAGCTATCTTGCTGAGACTGATCCATACCAAGACATCACACCAGTCATAGAAATTCTGTATGGCTTACCAGGGACCAGAGTCAACCTGCATCCTCCTTCCCCCCTCCCTCCCCAACAAAGGCACAGGGAGCAAGTGACAATTCACCACTCCACCAGGAAAGAATCCAGAAACAGCCAAATGACTCTGCAAATGATGATTCACATAGAAAAAGGAATTCACTCAAACTAGCTCAAAATTTGTTAGTATCAACACCAGGCACACTGGATTTGTGTGCCTGGATATCAACACCAGGATTTGTTCAACACCAGGCAGTTCCTCTCCTGCCCACTGCCAGCTTCCCAAGTCAGTTTTGGAGTTGATGAACAACATACCAAAGATCCTGGTGAATAAGGAGGAACTCGGGGAGCTACTGGGGCTCTACCATAATGAGGCATTTTACTACATTACCCTAAGCTGCATGTGCTCAGGGTTTTCTTCCCTGTGCACTCTGTGAGTACTGCCCATGCCTGGTTAGAGTTCTCTTCCCTGGGGCATTTGAGGAATACTCCCTTTAGAGAGGCCTCCTTCCTTGGAGTGGTCCTGGCCTTTAAGGTAAGCCAGGGGTCTTGGGCTTTCTGTCTTGCCTGAGGATTGGGGGTATTTTCAGCTGGTAGGGTGCACCGGTTGTTCAGCCTGCACTTTCACAGATGCTTAAGGACCTACCTTGCAACGATTTCGGGGCTCGACCTCCCTACGTCCCGGTCCTTGACCAGGCCTCCTGGGAGAGGAGGGCACCCCCGATGTTTCTCCTAGGCTGTTCGCTCATCACGTTCTAGTTTTAAGGTTTTTTCTTTTTGTTGTACTTTGTGTTGTTTTGTGGTTTTCCTTGGGATGCAGTAGAGCCCCTTGGCTGTCTCCTTGACTTTTGACTTTTCCTTAGGCTTTGGGTGGTCTAGTTGCCTGCATAGACAGGGTTTACCAGCATTGTAGCCCCAGTGCCTGGGATTCCTGTAGGACTCGTTCACCCTGCAGGCCTGGAAAAAACACCAGCAGATTCGAGGATACCATGGATACCACTTCCGAACTCGCTCTCGGTTTGTGCGAATTTGAGGGTTGTTTGTCGCCGGTGCCACTCAGGTATGTTCATTCTTTCTGCCTCCGGCATACTGCTTGTTGGGGCGGTGACACCTATGACAGTCATGTGGGACGTGTTCCCATGTGTTGATGATTACCCATTCTTCCATGGAAACCCAGAAGTTTCAAGCATCATGTGCTTTACATCGTCAGTTTTTGGTCTTGCTATGCACTAGGTTGTGTGCCTGGTTGGCTTTCCCGGATCTGCCCCATTTAGGTTTTAGGGACTTGGAACTGGAGGTGTTGGTCAACTCGACCTTGGTTCTGTCTGCACCTCCACTTTCCTCCCCAGATGGTTTGATTCATATTTCTAATTCTCCCCTTCCCCCCCCCCCCCTCCTCTTGCATTTGGCTCTGAAGCATCTAAGGGTTTCAGAATTGGGGCAGAGTTTAGCTCAGGATGTGGCTTGAGAAGATCTGGGGGTTAACATTTTAATACTTGGCCTACCTTGACGAATGGCTTGTTTGGGCTTCCAGCCGGTCTGCTAGTCAGCTGGCCAGGGAACTGGTTCTTTCCCAGATTGCTTGGTTTGGGTTCCTGGTGAACTGGAGGAAGTCCCAGTTGATTCCATCCCAGGATCGGACCTGGTTGGGCCTGATGTGGGATTCTCAGTAGGCATCGCTTTCCCTGCATCCTGTAGCCTTGCTCTGGTTGGAGTCCCACCATCTGCTGCTGTTCAGAGGGGGAGGGGGGGGCCCAAGTTACTAGGCGGATGTTCGAGCAACTGTGCGGGAGTCTGAACTTTGCCCTTCTGGTTTACCCATTGGGCAGGATTTGGCTCTGGAAGTTGTTTTGGTTTTGGAAGATTTACATAAAATAGGGTAGCTTTGGGAATTTTACGGACCACATTAACCCTTAGGCTGCGCTATACAGTGAAAGCTCGACTTACGATAATTCTGAGTTACAATATAAATTTGATCAGAAAATGCGACTCAACTTACGATAATGTCATCGACTAACGATATGCGTCGATACGCATTCGGGTCGACCGAGCACATGGTTCCTGGTCGGACGGGTCAACCTGCCTCAATTTACCAGAGTCGCCCACTTAGTGACGATCACGCTTATAAGAAATTCCATTATTTTGGTGATTTTTTGTTTTTTGAACATAAAACTGATTATTATATATAACATGCCATGGGTCTCAAGAAAGTCAGTGGTAAAAAGTAAGTAAGTGAGTGAGTGAGTGAGTGAGTGAGTGAGTGAGTGAGTGAGTGAGTGAGTGAGTGAGTGAGTGAGTGAGTGAGTGAGTGAGTGAGTGAGTGAGTGAGTGAGTGAGTGAGTGAGTGAGTGAGTGAGTGAGTGAGTGAGTGAGTGAGTGAGTGAGTGAGTGAGTGAGTGAGTGAGTGAGTGAGTGAGTGAGTGAGTGAGTGAGTGAGTGAGTGAGTGAGTGAGTGAGTGAGTGAGTGAGTGAGTGAGTGAGTGAGTGAGTGAGTGAGTGAGTGAGTGAGTGAGAGAGAGAGTGAGTGAGTGTGTGTGTGTGTGTGTGTGTGTGTGTGTGTGTGTGTGTGTGTGTGTGTGTGTGTGTGTGTGTGTGTGTGTGTGTGTGTGTGTGTGTGTGTGTGTGTGTGTGTGTGTGTGTGTGTGTGTGTGTGTGTGTGTGTGTGTGTGTGTGTGTGTGTGTGTGTGTGTGTGTGTGTGTGTGTGTGTGTGTGTGTGTGTGTGTGTGTGTGTGTGTGTGTGTGTGTGTGTGTGTGTGTGTGTGTGTGTGTGTGTGTGTGTGTGTGTGTGTGTGTGTGTGTGTGTGTGTGTGTGTGTGTGTGTGTGTGTGTGTGTGTGTGTGTGTGTGTGTGTGTGTGTGTGTGTGTGTGTGTGTGTGTGTGTGTGTGTGTGTGTGTGTGTGTGTGTGTGTGTGTGTGTGTGTGTGTGTGTGTGTGTGTGTGTGTGTGTGTGTGTGTGTGTGTGTGTGTGTGTGTGTGTGTGTGTGTGTGTGTGTGTGTGTGTGTGTGTGTGTGTGTGTGTGTGTGTGTGTGTGTGTGTGTGTGTGTGTGTGTGTGTGTGTGTGTGTGTGTGTGTGTGTGTGTGTGTGTGTGTGTGTGTGTGTGTGTGTGTGTGTGTGTGTGTGTGTGTGTGTGTGTGTGTGTGTGTGTGTAAAAAAAAAAAAAAAAAAAAAAAAAAAAAAAAAAAAAAGCGTCAGTTGATTGACAGCTGAGAGGGGGGGCCCAAAGAGCCCGAGCTCAACCCCCGCAAGCACAACTGGGTGAATACTAGGTGAATACAGACAGGAGTGCAGTACCTCACTGCCTTGGGTACAAGGTACCAGTCACGTCACATTACAAAGGGCTACCAGGAAAGATGCACAGTACCCAAGAGGGCAACCATAAGGACTGGAAAATGCAAATCCAATAAAATGCCAACCAGCACCAGAAACTGCTGGCCAGCATGGAGCAAGTAATCTGTCCGCACATGTAATGCATCTCAAGATTGAAGCTATTGACAGCAATGTGGTAAATTGACTGGCTGCAGATAAATTAAATTAAATTAAAAGGTGTTGTGTGCCAGCACAATTAAAAGCTTCAAATCTATACATGTACAAGACTACAAAGAATACAGGACACCATTAAATTTACTCTCATCATGAAACTACACTTAAATACAGCAATTACATATACATACCAAAGAGTTCATTCATCTCATCGAAGTATTCGCACCTCTTCTTAATCTCATGACGATCATTATAGTCTACTGTCCAACGGTATTTCTGTAGAACTTCCCTCCATCTCATGCGAAGCTGTAAAGGTTAAAACATTAATGAACTTATGAAAGCAAAAATTAATACAGTACATATATTGTACACAGCAGAAAAGAATGAATTAAAATAAACCAAACTCACAACAGTCAAATTAAATCAAATTCACTGAAATAACTAAATACTGTAAGAGCTGATCAGAGCCAACTGAGGGAAGTATTGTATTCTTGGTTTTTATGCTAGGCATATATCACAAATCTCTACTCAAATACAGTGGCACCTCGATTAACGAGTTTAATCCGTTCTGGCACCGAGCTCGTTATGTGGAAAACTCGTCTTAAGAAACAAATTTCCCCATTTAAAATAAAGGAAATAAATTTAATCCGTTCCACTCCCAAAAACATCCACACTTGTATGACATTTTAGTATGTAAATATAATACTGCACATGTAATTATAAATGTTTTGTTGTACTGTTTTCTTTTTTACTTTACCTTATGAAGAGTCGTTGCTGGCTTGAGGGAGACGATGGGGAGGTGGGAAGGATGAAAGGGGTTATGGTGTGGAAGGAGAATCCACCTCTGAGTCAGGCAGGCTCTCTCTTCTTGGGAATTTAACCCCACTGGGACCAGGTTGTGGTTCACTATCACTGGCTCTTCTTTTCTCTACTTTTGTAAAGAACGAGTCTATTGACAATTGCTTTTGTCTTTGTTTTAGGATATCCCTAAAACGAGACAGCAAATTGTCATTAAACATGTTCACACATCGGGTTGTCACTGCTTTATCAGGGTGATGTTTTTCTAAGAATGCAGTCACCTTTTCAAACATTCCCAACACTTCCTTGATCTTACTTGAAGAGGCAGCATCCTCCCTTACCTCCTCCTCCCCTGATGAGAGCTCTTGTGCCTCCTCTTGATTAAGCTCCTTCTTAAGTTCCAGGAGTTCCTCAGTGGTCAGTTCCTCACTGTGCTCCTCCACTAACTCCTCCACTCCATCAGCAGCATTCCAACTCCAGACCCAAAGTTTGCCCCAGTGCAACAATATCATCCACTAGATGCACTTCCGGGTCTTCCACAGGTACAGATGCAAATGCAGGACCGAAACCTTCACTCGGGAACACCCTCATGCCACAGGCAAGTGCCATGGCAAGAGTGCTGGGAAGACGGGACACCACGAGCGTAGCTCTCATCCTGTAACTACACTTAGGTAATTACACTTAAGTAATTACTCACACAGTCAGCTGGTGGCTGCCGCCCTCAAGGCCAGATGCACTAATATTTCTCCTCCAACAATACTGTTTGTGGTGTTATTACTCTATATACACACATTATATATAAATATCTACCTGCTTTATTCACCATACTTGTACAAGTAAACTGGTATGGTGCCCAAAGACCATCGTGGTCACCAGCAAATAACATGATAAGTCGCGCAGACGACGCCACCGCCCTCACCAAAATGGCGGCTCCCAACCTACTCATCTTTCTGTTTATACCCTCTATACACACGTTATATATAAGTATCTACATTTGTGTTCACCATAGCGAACCACTAAGCTGGTATGGTGAGTGCAGTCAATAAAAGGTAGCCACACACAGTCAGAAGACAACGCCACTACCCTCCCTCCCACAGCATTACTCCTCCCTCCATGGAGCACAGCGCTAAATATCACCACAATCCTGCTATTATCAGAACCCTGGTCAGTTTTATCACAGTCAGGGGTCTTCTGTAATAATATCATCGCTACATAATAGCATGAACAAGTATATTATGGCATTTTTAGGCGATGCTATGGTCACAAGCTGAACAGCAGTGCTGTGAGCTCATGCTGCGTGCGTCAGGCTTGGTAGCTCACTCAATACTGAGGCCCCTAACACCCGGGAATTTGACCCACAATTTAAAAAAAATGGCGTTCGTTTACAAGAGCCCTGATGAAGGTGTGGTGAACCCCGTGTATCCGCGAGCCCTTTAAATCTTGTGTAGTACTCCAAAGCATCATATGATGCGATGCGCAATTTAAGGGTTAAAGAAAGGGAAGAGTCCATGGGAAAGGCAGCAAGAAAAGGGCCGCTGGTAAGTCCCAGAAGCCTTGGCAGGAGGAACAGGCTAGAAATCCTCCGTCCCCAACCTGAACGGGGCAGCCCCCGAAAACCGCCCAAGTTTCGGCCCCAACTAAACCCCGCCCTTATCACGAAACCCGCAGACGGTCCGTAGCCGGGAACAGGGAGGGAAAGGGGCGAACAGCACCTAACCAAAACGGGGCAGCCCCGGGGCATCCGAGTGGGAAACCAACCTAGCATGTTGCAGCAACCTAACCTAGCTTGCAACACTGATGCCGCCTGTTCTCTGAACAGTAATAACATCAGCAGAGTACTGGAGAACAAGCAGAGAATCTCTCTCGCAAGACTCCGGGTCAAGGTGTCAGTGACCCAACAGGCAACATGACGGAGGTAAAAAGTGGTGACTGTCACCTGGAGACAAGGGCACAGCAACCAACGATCCCGTACAAGACGGATTGGGACCCGGAGACAAGGGCACAGCAACCAACAATCCCGTACAAGACGGATTGGGACCCGGAGACAAGAGCACAGCAACCAATAATCCCGTACAAGACGGATTGGGACCCGGAAGACACATTCAATGGCCCACCGAGCCCCGACAGGCGTTTCCAGGGCCCGTAGGGATAACTACGGGAAGCCCGGGCAAGATGTTGTTAACTGGTTAAACACCCAAAAATAACAAGGGGGTAGAGGACTACACTGAAACCCCCTGCGACATGTACAATCATGGGGGCCTAGCAGACGGCCACCAAACACTACCAGTGGAACTATAGCCACACTAGGCAGATCCCCACCAGGCAAATGAAAATAAAAAAAGAAAAACCCCGCAAAAGTACACCGTCTCCAGAGGCAACAGGAACCGATCGTCGCTTAGGTGGCAGGTCGCGCACCACCTTGACGCCCTAACCAGCACAATACCAGTCCCTTCCCAGGGCCAAACAAGGGCCCGAAGCCCCAGCTGGCCCCAAGGGCGAGGCAAATGCCGAGCAGCAAGAACCTCTACGGGAATGGTTCCCGAATGCCCTACAGTACTCACAGGGCCCTTAGGGAAGAAAACCCCTAAGCGCATGCAGCCCCAGCACCGATAAGGTACTCCTGGCCACCGCACAACACCCGGCAGTGAACGACACACAAGGCAAACACCGCCTAGGAAACTGAGGCCAGAGAAGCGTCTATCCTGGTTGACATTAGCTTACGAACTGATGCTAGGCAGCCGGCGCGGTAGGTCCGGGGCTACCCCCCCTCCCCCTCTCGGGGCGGGGAGGGCTGCACAGACGATCGGCTCGGCAGTAAAGCGTGATGTTTGCTTGTTTCCTTGGGATTGTAGGGAGTTTCTACCTCTTTGTTCGGTCTTTTAGTTTTTTACCATGTGGGGTTTGTTTTGTTATGCCTACCTTTCTGGGTGCAAACCCCGGTCGATGGCAGATAAGGAAAACCCCAATCACATGGAAGGTTTTCCAGGGCCAATGCTCCCTGAAACTTCTCTCAAGGGGCCAGGTTTTTGCGCTGGTCCCTGGTAGGTCTAAACTCCTTAGCTAATGTCCCGGTCTAATATAACATACATTAGCCCGATAAGCTCCAGGGAGCCGTAGGGGCTCCCCACAGAAAATTTGTATACATATCATGCAATTATGAAGGAATTTTATACAATGACAGTTATGACATTCACATAGCCACTTTTGTGACTAACTGCAGTCGCAGTATTTTTTTGTGTTTTTGTGATTTTCCATTGCATTCATACATCCAAATTAGCATCATATGTGCAAAAAAATCAGATAATTTAAATCAACATATGACGATAACTGTATTGCCTCTAAATCAACATATGACAGCACTCGGAGGCTTAAAATTAAGACTAAAATTAGTAATATGAAAAACTGAGCAATAAATTAAAAAAGTATTTGGTCATACCTGAAGAATAGTAAAGGTGTATCCTGCTGCTTCCATTTCTCTGTGTATACGTTCCCAGTGCCCCATTCTTTTTTCTGTCCTAATAGGCAATAAGAAGTGTGTTTTGGGATGACTGTGAATAAGTTGAATCAGAAGCCGAGTGGAGCGTTCATCCCAATCTCCTACGGAGAATATACATTTCATGTTTAACCAACTTAAATTACCCACAAATCTAGTCATTTTGATCACACACCAATATGGGCTATAAAAAACAGTGTTGAATGTAATGAAACGCCATTTTCTGGGCGAAACCCAGAGGCTTCCCGCAGCTATCCAGGCTGATATGAATATACTGTATTAGACTTTGGCATCAGTCAATGTTAATGAAGTTCTAGGCCTACCGGGAACCATGAGCCAGAACCTGGTCCTCCTCAGAAGAGGAACGAGGAGCAATGACCTATAGAACCCCCCCCCCATGTGGTTGGAAGCATTCTATGTCTGCCATCGACCGGCCAGCAGAAGGCCACCAAACACTACCAGTGGAACTATAGCCACACTAGGCAGACCCCCACCAGGCAAATGAAAATAAAAACAAAAGAAAAACCCTGCAAAAGTACACCGTCTCCAGAGGCAACAGGAACCGGTCGCCATTTAGGTGGCAGGTCGCGCAACACCTTGACGCCCTAACCAGCACAATACCAGCCCCTTCCCAGGGCCAAACAAGGGCCCCCAAGCCCCAGCTGGCCCCAAAGGCGAGGCAAATGCCGAGCAGCAAGAACCTCTACGGGAATGGTTCCTGAATGCCCCAGGGAAGATAACCCTGTTACGCAGGGGCAGTACTCACAGGGCGCTTAGGGAAGGAAGCCCCTAAGCGCATGCAGCCCCGGCACTGATGAGGTACTCCTGGCCACCGCACAACACAACACACAGCAGTGAATGCCACGCAAGGCAAACACCGCCTAGGAAACTGAGGCCAGAGAAGCGTCTATCCCGGTTGACATTAGCTTATGAACTGATGCTAGGCAGCCGGGGCGGTAGGTCCAGGGCTCCCCCCTCCCCCTCTCAGGGCGGGGAGGGCTGCACGGACGATCGGCGCGGCAGTAAAATGTGATGTTTGCTTGTTTCCTTGGGATTGTAGGGAGTTTCTACCTCTCTGTTCGGTTTTTTGTTTTAGTTTTTTACCATGTGGGGTTTGTTTTGTTATGCCTCTCTTTCTGGGTGCTAACCCCGGTCGATGGCAGATAAGGAAAACCCCAACCACAAGGGAGTTTTCCAGGGCCATTGCTCCCTGAAACCTCTCTGAAGGGGCCAGGTTCTGGCACTGGTCCCTGGTAGGTGTGAACTCCTTAGCTAATGTCCCGGTCTAATATAACAGACATTAGTCCGATAAGCTCCAGGGAGCCTTAGCGGCTCTCCACAGAAAAGCTTTTAATTTTATTCACATTATTATTATTATTATTATTTTTTTTTTTACATTTCGAACAAATTTAGCACTGAAGGACCATCTGTTTTTCACTAGCAGGAAGAAACTGGGACTTATTATTTAAATGATTTAAAAATGTATGTATTACTAAATTTCAATTAATTTTGCAAAGTACTGTAGTTAAAATTACTGCATTAATTTCCACTTACCAAGGGTATCCTTGAAGCAGTAGAAATGACTTCGGTTTAATTTGAAGTCTTTGTCCCTCATAGTTCGATTGAGACGATATGTATCATCCATTGCTTGATATTTCCTTCTCTTCTTCTTCAGAGCTCCTTTATCCTTGTCTTCCTCCTCATCCAGAGTTTCTTCATGATCACTGAGATCATCTTCGCCTGGAATTATTGATGTACAGTAATTTTATCTACCTCTATAGGTTCCCCTACTTTTCAAATTTGCCTCTCTATGAATAAGTATCCAGTGTTGGTCCTGAATAGAGCATTGAGCATTAAGCAATTATTTTGTGCACAACATAAAAGTCTGAAAAACCAACTTTGAATGTAACGAAAGGCTAATTTCTAATCTCACTTAGATGGCCCCAAACTACTGGATCACATCAGCCATGAGCTCAGTTATTTGGCCCACTGGGAACCAGAGCCTTACCTTGCCTCTATGAGGGTAGGTAGTCAGGAACCACCTGCTTACTGACCACCCTCACAGGAAGCAGATGACACTTCACCTCACCAGGAAAGTCAGCAAACCAATATAAACCACTGCTGGGTTCAAAAGAGACCAAAGCTTGACAACCTGCCAAATAAATTCCCCCAGTGCCCAAGACTGGACTACGTTTCATCATCAAGCCCACACATAATACACCCCCAACTACACAGAGACTACCACACTCCCCAGTATCACTTCCAAAACTGGACACCCACACCCTGGGTCAGGGTAGAGAGGAGGGAGAACTACCAAAACCTTCAAGAAGTGACACAATATGGACAATCATTCATATTTGCCAACATTTAAGGTATAAAATCAAAGTCAAGAAATAAAGTTAAGTTCATAAATGGCCTCCTTTTAGAGTCAAACTCAATATTTGGGGCATTCACTTAAACTCATACAAAAGATTACATTGATAGTGAAATCTGGATTCCAAATTATAATTTATATAGATGTGATAGAGAAAATAGGTCAAATGGAGGAGTAGGTCTGTATATTAAAGAGGACCTTGTATGCACAGAACTACTAAACTCAACTAATGAGATGGTAGAGGTACTTTGAATTAAGGTAGAAAAAATAAACCTAATTATTATTCTAATACATAAACTGCCAGATACAACAGTTGAGGAACTCACAGAGCAGATGCACAAAATAGAGAACATCCTTGATAATCTAGCGAACCCAGCACCAGATATTATCTTCCTTGGAGATTTCAATTTACCAAGTCTAAGATGGCGAATGGTAAACACAAATATCATAGCAGGGAATGACCCGGGAAATAACCAACCACAGGTCAGAGAACTTTTGAGATTCTGTAACAAATTCTTGCTCAATCAACAGATCACAGATCCAACTAGGAACGAAAACACACTAGACTTGCTACTCACAAACAATGATGATCTAATCAGAGACATTACAATCTCTGATACTACATACTCAGACCATAAGCTCATTGAAGTGCGAACTAGCATAAATAACGGTAGTAGGTCTAAGAGACCCAACAAGCGAGAAGGAATATTCAACTCAATTTCAACAATAAGAGGATCAACTGGGAAAAAATGAATGTAGACCTTGCAACCATGCAATGGACAACGGTCTTAAGCGACAAAATTCCCACACAGGGAATAGATCAACTGACAGCTGAAGCATACAAGGTCTGCCTGAAGCACATGCCTGTGAGGAGGGTCAGAAAGAGGACCACTCTAGAAAGAGAACGTAGACGACTGTACAGGAAAAGGGAAAAAATAACGGAAATGCTTAGGCAGACAACTATCACAAGCAAGGAAAATAAACCTAAACAGGGAGATCAAAGAAATAGAACAAACGTTGAAGCGATCATACGAGGCTGAGGATATGGAATTGGAACAGAAAGCTATACAAGTGATAAAGAAAAATCCAAAATATTTTTTCACATATGCAAAATCAAAATCAAAAACCTCCACCAGTATTGGACCTTTAATTACAACTGAAGGTACGTACACAGAGGACAACAAAGAAATTAGTGAAATTCTAAGAAGCCAGTATAAGGCTATGTATAGCACACCAAAAAACAACATTTAAAGTTGATGACCCAGACAGCTTGTTTATGAATGACATTCAAGCTGCATTTGAAATGCCATGACTGTACATGGCATTTCAAATGGTGAAACCTACTTTAAGAATACAGACTAAAGTTGGAAACATATTACTCTTCACACTAGTTTCAAAGCATTATATGACAATGAGTGCTGGGAAGATGGGACACCACGAGCGTAGCTCTCATCCTGTAACTACACTTAGGTAATTACACACAATGTACTACAGTACTGCTAAACATAAAACTCACCTTCCACTGAAGAAATTGTAGGCTTGTCTTCTTGCCCACACACTTTTTCTACATCATTGTGGCACCCATGTTTCTGAAAAGTGTCAACGGTGTCATACACCTGAAGACATTCTCCACACATGTATGAGTAGACTTCCATCTATTAAGAAAAATAAAGGTACTGTATTATCCACCAAGAAAGATTAAAATATATCCTAGGCTAAGGCATTAACCATGTATATATAAATGACAACAGGACTAATCATATGCAGTATCACACTACAAAAATTACTCAAGCATCACTAAACAAGCTATTGAAAAATTCCATGGTTGAATGTAATGAAACTCCTCTTTCTGGACGAGTCCGGGTGGCTCCCTGAAGCTATCTCACCAAGATGGTTCCCAAATACTAGGTCACATCACCTGTAGGGTCGCCTGCCCATAGAGCGGACCAGCCGGCCTGCAAAGAGGACCCGCCGACCCGCAGAGAAGACCCACCAGCCTCAGTTCGCTGGTACGCAGAGCAGACCTGCTGGCCTCCGCTTGCTGGCCAGTTGAGAGGACTCGCCGGCCTCGGCTCACTGGCACACAGACCAGACCCACCAGCCTCCGCTTGCTGGCCAGTAGAGAGGACCCGCCGGCCTCAGCTCACTGGCATGCAGAGCAGAACCGCTGGCCTCCTCTTGCTGGCATGCAGAGCAGAACCACCGGCCTCAGCTCGCTAGCATGCAGAGCAGAACTGCCGGCCTCAGCTCGCTGGCCAGTAGAGAGGACCCACTGGCCCACAGAGAGGACCCACGGGCCTCAGCTCGCGGGTCACTGAGGAACTGTCTGCTCGTGAATAGCAGAGGAATGCTGCCCATAGCTGCCTTGTTTGCTTAATCTTAAGATACAGAAGTCAAATCCTATCTACCCGCCAAACACACAACAAAACTACAACATTATTATAATGTTCAAACAAGTTGTAACAACTATTTAACATCATAAAAACTTTGTAACAAGGTAACAATAGGGACTGTTACAATGTGTGTTTGCAGGGGCTAAGATTTCAGTGTCTCAAACACAAATACAATTAATAAGGATAACTGTATCTGCACCTTCCGTTTCAAGAGCTACTGTAGTCAAATTTAACTCGTGAATTTAGGCTTCATCCTCCCATGTTCTGCCTGTGCTACATTTGCAATACAGGTATTTCCCTTTTGTTGCAGACTAACTGTTAACACTTGTCATGTAGTGGCATTACAAGCCACAAAGTAATATGCACAAAACCTGGCTATTTTTGTGTATGTGCAGTGTAGGCAAAGGTATCTCCCCCTCCAGACTACATAACTGGTCTTGTAGAGACATTAGACTTGAATCCTCTCTTGGAATCCAGCTTGCTGGACACTTGGTAGCCAAAGACCAAGGACTCGCCTAGTTGTGCTTGCAGGGGTTGAGCTTTAGCTCTTTGATCTTGAATCTTGACTGCCAATCAGCTGGTATACAGATTCCCGAGCCTATTGGGCTCTATCAAATCTACCTTTTAAACTATGTACGGAGTCTGCCTCTACCACATCACTGCCTAATGCATTCCATTTGTTACTATTCTGACACTGAAAAAATTCTTTCCGATGTTTCTGTGGCTCATTAGGGAACTACGTTTCCACCTGTTTCCCTTTGTTCATGTTCCACCTATGCTAAACGGTTTGTCTTTGGTCACCCTGTAAATTCCCCTGAGAATTGTGTAGGTGGTAATCATGTTTCCCCTTACTACTCTGTCTTCTGTGGAAGTGAGGTTTAGCTCCCACTAGCCCTTCCTCACAGTCATACCTTTCAGTTCTGGGACTAGTCTGGTGGCATACCTCTGAATCTTCTCTAACTTTGTCTTGTGTTTTACCCTTTAACTGCGCAACGCACCTGCAGGTCCACGTCTGGGGTGTGCTGGAGTAAATAAAGGTCGTGTCATCAGCAAATAGAATTGGTTTGAGATGTTGGGAGGCATTTGGAAGGTCATTAATGTAGCTGAGAAAGAGGAGAGGGCCAAGTATGCTGCCCTGGGGAACACCAATGTTGATGGGTAGGGTGGGAGAAATTGAATTATTCACAAACATATTGGAGCCTGTCAGTAAGGTAAGACTGAAGGTACTGCAGGGAGTGACCTCTGACTCCATAATGTTGTAATTTAAGAAGGTTTTGGTGGTTGACAGATTCAAAAGCCTTACGCAGGTCCACAAATAACCCAATAGGGAACTCATTTTTATCAATAGCTGCATGTAGCAAGTTAATCATACTAACAAGTGCATCGTTAGTGCTTTTTTGGGGGGTCTGAAGCCATTTTGACAAGAGCTAAGAATATTGAGTTTGGCTAGATAAGAGTAAAGCTGCTTGTAGATAAGTTTTTCAAATATTTTAGACAAGTTTGGCAGAATTGATATAGGTCTAAAGTTGTTAACATCAGTGGGATCATCACATTTGTGGACAGGGGTTACTCTCGCTTTTTTTTAGAATATCTGGAAAGGTTTGGAGTTCAAGTGACTTATTGTAGAGCAATGCAATGGCAGGAGCTAAAAATCTGGAGGCTTTTTTGTAAATAAAGAGTTGGTATCTTCTCAAGGGCACTAGACTTGGTTTTAAGGGAAAGGATTATGTCAGTAACATCAGTGGAATTAGTAGGCATTAGGTACAGAGACTGTGGATAGTTACCTGTAAGATAGTCCTGAATATTAGTACTGGAAGATGGCATATCATTTGCAAGGGATGACCCAATGGAAGAGAAGAACCTATTGAACTCAAAAGCAGTGTCAAGAGGCTGAAAGCAGACCATCAGTATTTGACAGGAGTATTGGTTTGTTATTTAAAATCTTCTTTGATCCCAATATTTGTGAAATTGTGTTCCATGTTTTCTTAATGTTGCCCTTTGTGTGGGTAAATTTATCTTCGTAGTATTTAATTTTGGCTCTCCTAATTATTTTAGATAGCAATGATGAGTAATTCTTTGAAAATTACTCTTACTAAAAATTACTCTTACTATTACTTAATTACTAAAAGACTTAGACTTAATATTAATATTAATTAAGATTATAGTATAAATTGTGTTAAAAATGGGAAAAAAGGGGGGGGAGGGGTAACATGGCAGAAATCAGCAATTATACAAGTTGGTCAAAAACAGTATTGTTTGAAAATAGCAAAACATGGGTTGACATTTAGGGGGTAAGGTAGATTACATGGAGTTTATTAGGAAGTATTTAGTTTTTCTCTTAAACTGCTTGAGAGACGTACAGCCTTTGACATTATTGGGAAGGTCTGAACATAGTGTCTGAGGCTGAACCAGAAGCCCACCAACTCCCGGCCAAGCCGGCCCTGGACACCGTCGATCTCTCTAGCCGAAAATCAAAATGGAAAATAATAAAAATCTATCAAGTTCTCTGACCTCAGGTGACAAGTGCGGCAGACGTCGGAACAATCCGGCCCTTGAAGAGGAATGCCTTTCGTCAGACTCAATGGTCAAAATCGCATCCTATGTTGTTGGTCAAGAGCCATGAGTCCCGTGAACACTGCTGGTGCCAGGGCGAGGACGACTTGCGGCCTACCTGCGTCCCCGTGTGATACTGTTGTGTTGACGGTCTCACTCAGCTGATCGCTTCTCTTTCACTTTTCAAACTTTTACATTTTCTATGAATGGTCATTTTTTTCTCTACTTTGAGACTATATTTGTGGTAATTCTCAACCTGTTGATATAATAGTATAAATAATAATAATAAATAATAATAATATTTTTTATTGACAGTCTTGAAATTGAAATTGAAATTTTGAAACAGTCTTAGGTATACACAGTAATACACAGGGGATCGTATTCCAGGGACCTGCCCGAAACAAAATGAAACAAGTGTATGAAACGCTACGCGTACTAGGGGCTGTACAAGAATGTAACAAATCATGTATATATCTCAAAAAAAAAAAAAGTTAGGCCTACAGGCTAGTGTTACTGTGTCAGCCTGTGACATAACCTACATACCTGACATTAGAATGCAAGAGTTACTGGAACAAACAATCCCTACTCCAACTTCCAGAAAAACAAACTGCGGGTCAACAATATCATGGAGTGAGGATCTATGTGGCAACTCTGTCCTCAATGTATTTAATCTATATGCTCCAGCAGGAAAGTTAAATTATATTGATCTTCTGGCCTGCGCTCAAGCAGAGCCAACCATCATTCTTGGTAACTACAATGCTAGACACAAGGACATTGGTGGCTCTCGCTTCAGTAACGGGAATGGGAATCAACTGAATATTTATGACTCGTATGGGCGCTTCAGTAAGATTCAGTAAGGGTCGGCGAACATCTGAATGTTTTGTACTTGACCGTCGTTAAATGTCTGAACTGTCTAGGGATCATAAGTGCTGTACCACTGACACATGAGCAACAAAGTCTTCACGTCGAGCAGGAGGAACACCGAGCCGTTTGCGTTTAAAAGTTCCACCGGGCAGGATGGTATTTCCAAAGGCATGGTATTGCCTTTATCTACAAATCATTCTCTCGCCTTGGTTATCCTTTGCATTTCATCAACTGTGCCCACTCTCAAGCTAAACGAAATTTCTTTCATCCTAAACCTGCTTCCAACACTAGTAGCACTGTACTATGCCTTCCCTTCATATCTGAACTCAAAACTTTTACCAATACCTTTCGTCCTCTTGACATTAAACTCGCCTTTCGACAAACTAACACACTTCGTAGCAATCTAGTTCACACTGCTCCTCCTGCTTCTAATGCTGCTGGTGTCTACTCTATTTCCTGTTCATCTTGTCCTCTCCAATACTTTGGCGAAACTGGCCATACACTGAATGACAGACTTAAAAGAACACAAGAGAAGTGTTAAGTCTGCAGACGCTAACAATGCTCTCTTCTGCCATGTGAGGGATTCTAATCATCCCATTGATTGGTCTTCCTCCAAAATAATCTTTCCTGCCTCTACTCTACACAGACGCCGTCTTGTAGAATCGGCTCTTATAAACAATGTACCCAACATGAACTTGAGTCCTGGCTTTGTTGCTGTGGACTCTTCCCTTTCACAGTATATACTCAAATGCTCTAATCTTTCTAACAAACGTGACTTAACATAAGCTTTCCCCCTTCCATTTCTTTCTTTCTCTTTCCTTTTCTTTCTTTCTCTTTCCTTTTCTTTCTCTCTTCTCCCTTCTCCCTTTTTCTGTTCATTGTCTTCTACGCTCCCTTGCTATCCTCTTCTTTTTCCTATTTCTATCTCCTTCGGTGGTTATAATAGGAGCTGCCTCGTATGGGCCAATAGGCCTGCTGCAGTTCTCATTACTACTATCCCCTACACCTGACTTTCCTCCTCAGCTCTCTCTTGCCTATTTATTGCCTGTCCCTACCTCCTCATCACAATCGACTTGAGAATGGTCCAGGACGGACCGAAACGTCGTCGTCCCTTCAATTTCTAGTGTGTGGTCTGGTCAACATACTTCAGCCACGTTATTGTGACTCATCGCCTGCATATGGTATTTCCGATACAGAGTAGTCAATCTAGGGTGGTGATCTGACAACAAATCTTTTACAATAGATGATTTGCACCAGACATGAGAGACGTTGAAACCAACACAGAGGTCTAGAATGAGAGGTCTTTACAGGTTCCGGAAGATGAGAGGAAATGTCAGCACTGTGGAGAAATGCCCGACAGACAACTGGAACATTAACACAGTTACAAACCCATTAAGATTTCATCTTAGATTCAACAATGATGTTAAACACATGGGGCAAAATCTTACTGAAGCGCCCATACGAGTCATAAATATTAAGTCTATTCCCATTCCCGTTACCGAAGCGAGAGCTACCAATGTCCTTGTGTCTAGCATTGTAGTCACCAAGAATGATGGTTGGCTCTACTTGAGCGCAGGCCGGAAGATCAATATAATTTAACTTTCCTGCTGGAGCATATAGATTAAATACATTGAGGACAGAGTGCACACTGGAGGGGGGACTGGGACAAGCCGCCAGCTTCCTGTCCTGTCGTTGCCACTAGTGTGTTAGTATCCTTCTGCTGAATTCAGGTAAACCTTTTTCGTTTGGTAAACAGGGTTTGGCGGCTGGATTAGTGAGCATTTGTCCTGGAGTCTCTGTTTAGCCCATCCTCATTGTAGTAAACAATCACTGAGAGACCATCGAGAACGCTTGTACACCTTAACCAAGTGTAAAGAGAAACAGACAAAGATCGATATAGATAAAGACAAAGAGACAGACAGACAGAAAGAGAGACAAAGACAGACACAGACAGAGAAAGTGTGACAGAAGATGGCTCTGGCAAGATGGTAAAGCGATTCCAGACCCTCTTTCCAGAAAGATGTGGCTCCAGTTGACTGTTATACTCGCCCGGCACTTTGGCCTGGGTTTGTATCCTGGCCGGGGAAGATTGACTAGGCGACAATCCTTAACTGTAGCCTCTTCACCCCAGCAGTAAAGGGTACCGGGTTTTTACACGATTTGGCAGGTCGTATTCCAGGGAAAATTATGACTAAGGAGCTGCCTGAAACGCTACGCATGGCAGTGGCTTTATAAGAATGTAAGAACTTTTATATATACAATTAAAAGATAAATGATAGGCGTAAACTTCAGAGATCGATGGTAGCAGTAGAAAAAGGAAAAATACTACTGTAGATTACAGACAGGGAACGCTGTAGAGACTGGTGCAGGGGAACAAAACTAAGCACTGATGACAGAAGGGCAGGGATACAGGCATGAGACTTTTGAAGGAGACTAGCGAGGTTTTGAGGAAGGTCTCAAGCCACTCTTTCAGGGAGGGAAACCATTACGCATTCTGGATCAGGGGACCCGAGTTGGTCAATTGCGCCTGGCATATTGTACAAGCTTTAGTCATTGATTATATTCTTGTCAAAAGAGGTTTAGTTTACGAGTAAATAATGGACTATTTAAAGGAATTACGACCAACTGAATTTGCAGAAATCCACACACTTTGCAGAAATCTGTTGTATGTACCTTACCTAAATAAACATTTATTTATTTTATTAAATCCAAGTGGGTCATTCAAGTTGACTTGAGCTAGGTTATAAATGACAATTGGAGCATATTGCAATCTAACCCCATGGTTTGGCTCTAACAAGTATTTCAATAGCCTTGGGCCATTCTTTGACTTGACTGACAACAGGTCAGGAAAGGCACTTCAGAAACGCATAAAGGGAAGCTAGTAACCTAAAGAACAGAGAGAGGGGGAGGGGAAGGAGATGGTGGAGGAGACAGATTGCCGTCTCTGCAGTAATCAGTTTCCAACACGATGTCTGTGCTTGCTGGCAGTATGTTAATTAAGTATTATCTAGAAAATCAAGTGACATTCTAGGTTAAGAAATGCAAGTAACTTCTAAATTAGTTTAATAACATTTAAATATATATATACTGAAAAACTTGTATGGCAATTAGTTACTTTCAAATTTTTCTTTAATCCACTTTCCGAACTCTAAAGCACCGGGCTCGTTCACTTCACTATAGCCGGGTAGAGCAGACTTGCACTGTACCATCCAGGCTGTCACATTATCGTGACTTGATACATCTATTCCTGCAGCTTCGACTGTAGACACTGTAGCCACCAAGACTATGTCGGCGACGGTGAGGCTGTTGCCGACAGCCCACGAGTGGCCATCCAGGAAGTCGTCGAGCCAAGTCAACGCCTCCTGCAGGGCTTCCAGCTTCACTGGGTCTGATTTTTCTTCATTTAGGACTGGGAGCTGTAGGAAGTAAAGGAGGTAATTGTCAAAAGCCACAACGCCGGAGACTATCATCAAAGTCGCAGGATATTACTATACTATCCTACCTTCCTTGTAGCGGACATGGCCATAACACCACCAGCTAACAAGAAAATTGCCTTTAGGTTACACAGTGAAGCAGCAATAAGCAATCTCACAAATACCCTCAATATAAACTGGGAATCTGAATTTAATAATACACAGGATATAAATTCTTTAACTAGCCTCTTCTTTTCCAAAATTCTAAGCCTTTACAATACTTATTGTCCTCTCCTCCCCAAGCAAGTAACTGGCAAATGGTTAAATAATTCCTGGCTCACTAATGGCATACTCAAAGCAATCGACAAACATGAATATGAAAAAAATTAGGATTGGCCTAGTTGGAAAGGAAGTAGACGAAGTTCAACCCGAGCAAATTTAAGGTAATGAAACTTAGCAGTGGCAACAGGCCAGAAACATGATACCTAATGGGAAATGAAGTCCTCCATGAAACAGACAAAGATTTAAGAGCTGATATCACACCAAACCTGTCTCCTGAAGCCCACATATAAACAACATTTGGCGATGTATGCGAGGATGGCAACATCAGAACTGCCTGCAGGAACCTGTGTAAGGAATAATTTAGAACCTTGTCTACCTCGTATGCAAAACCAATCCTGGAGTATGCGGGCCCCAGCATGGAGCCTGTACCAGTCAAGCACAGGAATAAGCTAGAAAAAAGTTTAAAGGCATGCCACTAGGCTAGTCCCAGAATTAAGAGGCACGAGTTAAGAGGAAAAGCTGCAAGAAATGAACCTAACGTCGCTGGAAGATAGGAAAGCTCTGAGAGACGTGATTACTACCTACAAAATTCCAAGAGGAATCGACAGGGTAGATAATTTTTTTAATTACACAGAAATCTCAATAGCGTAATGCATCAAATAATGAAATCCACAAGGGCAGTGTTGGGGGTTCGAACCTACGTCCGAGAGGATCCCAGACGCGCCTTCATCGACTGTGCTACGATATGGTAAAATAATTGCAACCGGGAGTTCAACTGACCTCACACGGATCCTGCAGTCTCAGACAAACCAGGGTTTTACACAATTCCCCCATGCAGGGAGCCGGTCGGCCGAGCGGACAGCACGCTGGACTTGTGATCCTGTGGTCCCGGGTTCGATCCCGGGCATCGGCGAGAAACAATGGGCAGAGTTTCTTTCACCCTATGCCCCTGTTACCTAGCCGTAAAATAGGTACCCGAGTGTTAGTCAGCCGTCACGGGCTGCTTCCTGGGGGTGGAGGCCTGGTCGAGGACCGGGCCGCGGGAACACTAAAGCCCCGAAATCAAGATAAGCTCAAGAAGATGCACCCTAGATCTGTCAAGCTATTCTACCTCTTCGCCCTTCATTACACACAAACAATAGCGTGATGCATCAAATGAATAAATCCATGAGGACCGTTGAACTCCCAGTACCCAAATGAGCCACATGGACGTTAGAAAGAACTTTCAGTGTCAGTAGTTAACCGATTGAATGCATTAGACAGTGATGTGGTGGAGGCTGACTCCATACACAGTTTCAAATGTTGATATGATAGTGCCCAGTAGGCTCAGGAACCTGTACACCAGTCGATTGACAGTTGAGAGGCGGGACCAAAGAGCCAGAGTTCAACCCCCGCAAGCACAACTAGGCGAGTACGTTACTCGTGAAAATTAAGAGACTTCAGCCACAAACTAAACGAATCTTTTAATGTTGCTCATTGAAGAAATGGCGAGTGCGGTTAGTTCCGTGATCTCCCAAAATTAAGAAGGGAGTAAAAGACAGCTGTTAAAGATGATGCCACGCCAGGTGACTAGGTAGTTACAGCTGGAGACTTGGGCCTTAACCTTGCTAGGAAAGTGGGCGGGGAACAAAGAATCTAGTCTGAACCAAAGATGAAGGTCTAGGTTCAAGTGTAGTCCGCCCCACTAGCCTGTTCCCGAGGAGTCATTGCTGATGCCATGCATCGTTGTTTCAACAAGTTAAAGCCCCGGAGCCAAGAAATACCACCTACTAGGGCAGCAGGGAAGGCCAAGCTGTGACCAGTGCACAATGGAGTCCACCAGCCCAAGCGGGGCCCCCTCTTTAACAGGGACCTACTGCATCACAGTCTCCTACACAAGTGCAAAGACCTTACTTCACCTCGCCCCAGCCCAGATACCCATCCGACCTCCAAGGGCGATCCCGAAAGGTAATCCCTCCAGCAGGTGGTCCAATGACCCAAACGGGTGTTCTGCATTACTTTCATTTCGCTCGAGGAAAGCCAAGAACAGTAGAGGGGGCGAAACATTCCCCAGTGGGCCCCTGGGGAGCGCTACGTGGGCGCCACACCTCACGAGGGTAAAACCTTACAGGGGACGCAAGCGACAGTACTAAAATTTTAAGTACAAACTTCGGCAATTTGCCGTTAGCCATTTTCAAATATTTGTGTTTGTCAACCTTAAGCTGTATATTGGCTTTACGATCTCCCCAGTTTAATTTTTAATTTCCATGTCTGATTTGATTCAACAAATAATTCCAGTCTAATGAGCGTTAAGTGATTGTACCAAAGCTAGAGAATTTGCTACAATTTGTTAACAATTTAGTAAATGTTCACGTCAAACCAATTCTTCACTTACCACGTAGTGAAGGAATCTGTGGTGGAGCGTGCCCATGACAAAGTAGAGGAGGCGGTCGACCGTGGCTCGAGCCTTCGGGTTCCCAGGGTACAGCGAGTCGTCCTTCCCGTATTGTGTGGCAAGGTAGGTGCAGATTGACGGACTGTCACGGGATTCAAGGTACAATATTTAAGCATTATGACTCTCCGTAATTGCTAAAGTTTGCAACAAATTATGTTAGAGAAACTGAAATTAGTTTATTGAGGTATAAATACACAAAAGGGACGAAGTAGTTGGAGCAATTCTCACCCCGTTACAGAATTTTCTGTCAAGGGAAGCAAGACATCCAATTTTAGATATCTAAATGTTGAAGACATTTACAATTCAGGTTGTGTAATTATTTTGGCTCCATCACTCTTGCCAACTTCTTATTAGCTCTAAAAATTAAAAAGGGATTATGAAATTTAATACTTTCGACCACTCGCCTCTCCCAGAGGACCAAGTCATCGTCGACCAGAGTTGGGAAGCAGCGCTGGCAGTTCACAGCCAGGAGTTCAGCTTTCATCTGTTGCTTGCCAATCACGTCAACTTTTATCATGTTAAGCTCTACGCCAACAGCTTTAGCCGTTAGCATGACGGACCGGCAAGCAGCAGTGTGTTCTGTGTAATACAAATCTAGTGCCATTTTATCTGAAAAAAATACAAATTTAGTGAAGTTGTTCCGAAGCTTTGTATCGATAGCTCATTGGTACAATATTATCCGACATTCAGATACGAGTAGTCTTGAGCACCGTCTACTTTACATAAAGCCCGAAGCCTTTATAGAAAATCACTTAGGAATTAGGAGACTTTTATTGAAGGGGGGGGGGGGGGAAGAAAGGGGGGAGGAGTACGTGGCGCAAAGAGAAAGGGGTGAGGGGTACGTGGCGCAAAGAGAAAGGGGGGAGGGGTACGTGGCGCAAAGAGAAAGGGGGTGAAGGGTTTGCCTAAGCAACCCCAGCCACATGCCTGAGGTTGCCCAGGACGCTTTTTTTATAGTGTTATACATATATATCTTTTACAGCCACTAGCACGCATAGCGTCTCTGGCAGGTCCTTAATAGTAGTTTTACCCGGAATTCGACCTGCCAAATCGTTTAATAAGCAGGTACCCGTTCGACTGGTGGGGGAACACTTAAAGATTGGCGCCCGGTCAATCCTTCCCGGCCAGGATACGAACTCGGGCCAAAAGAAGCGCCGGGCGAGTATTTTACCACAGCGCTACGGGGCCAGGTTGATTCCTCATCCTACTCCAGTAATTAATTACCATTACATTATTGCCATTCGTGTGAATTCATTTTAAGCTCTTGACACATTAGGTGTGGGAAATATAGAGTATTTAAGGCACTTCCCATACGCTTAATTTACATAAAGTGCAGTGGCAGACTTTAGAGCACATCTGTTTAGAGCACCATGTATAACTTATTACAACTTTCACACAAGTGAAATTAAATACTTAAACTAATAACTACAATCACCGTTATACAAAATCACGAATTAACGCTGCAAATTTGTAAACCTTTGTTGTCACAGACAAGACCACTAGTTCCTAAAGTGTTAATGTGGCGACATTAAAGAAATCTTAAGATAATAGTTATTGAACTTCACTTGCGAGGTGCATCTAGCTGGCGGTAGTCTCTTGGAGGGGGGGGGGGGTAGAAGTAGCCTAAGCTACTCTATCCCTTTGAGATTTTTTTTTCTTGTCTCAAACTTACTTGAACTTTAGTACCGCGAACACATCCGTAACTGAAGGCGGCGTTTGGTACTGGCTTTGGTACCATGGCGTGTACCAACTACATCCAAACCCCGTCTAATTCGCCAGCCTTCAATGTATTATTTGGGAAATATATCTTTGGGTGTTCGCAAACCAGTTTTAGTAGCCCTGCTCTTGTGTATACAGCAATAATATTTTGCAAGACCGAACAGCAAAACTTTAACCTGAAGAATAATTATATATGCCTCATAAGGATGCAATATCTAATGGTCCAATAGTTCAATGTTGCAAAGCCTATGTAATGCACACGAGGCCAGTATTCAGCCCACCATGTCTAGCCTTATGTACTTAGCTTGCGATAAAATGGTGGTCAATACTGGGTACAAAGACTATTGAAAAGAACTGTTCATACACCTATTGCAAGAACTCGGTTGAGTTTAGCCTTACATAGTGAAATACATTAGGTTAATGTCAGCATAATTTTATCACTAAAAATGTAAAAGTTTATGCCTATTTAAACTAGTAATTTATGCAATCTGCGTTGCATAAATTTCTAAATCCAAAGGGTCTATTTAAAACATTAACCCACACAAAAACCACTTCATAATTCAACCCAAGCCTAACAGTTCCGATGAACACAGAAAGCCTACGAGGTAAAAATAATTAAGCGCCCCAGCTGGTTACCAATAATGCTTGTAGTTCACACTCGTCAAAACCGTCCCATTACCACAATATATTTACAAACATTAATTTACATATACTAAAGAACGTCATGTACACAAACGCTATCACTGGTAATTTAGTACTAGTCACTACTATTATAAATATAACAACGCTCAGGACGCCTATACACCAGAGAACACTTCTTGATGGACACAAGACCTTGAGAAGACTGTCAACCTGCTGCTTGAAAGGTAACTTACACACGAAGTGACTGCTGTTGTTGACCAAGAGTTGCAACATTTCACTAATTGCGCAAATGCCACAACGGAAGCCTCATCAGAGATCTTCGTGAACCTCTTATATGTCACCTACTTGCGAAACATCTGGGAAATGTCCACAAGAAACCAACAGAATTAATACTTTAAGAATTAGATCAACTAATACAGAATAAGGTCTTTCATAAAGGTTGTTTTAACTAACGCCATCTATTGCTCAGATGAAACGTTTGCCACTAGCCACATGGTCGTGTAGCACAGTAGTCTACGTCGACGGCTCTCAAAGGAGGGTCCCAGGTTCGATTGCCACGCAGGACGGAGACCTTTGGTTACGTTTCCTGCCACCTGATGCCTCACCTCACTTCACATTAAGTAGATACCCGGGAGTTAGGTAACTGTTGTAGGTTGTATCGTGAAGAAAGTGGGTCGATAGTCCAGAGGTCTCCTGCACGCAACACTATGCGTGTTAGTGGTTTTGCAAGAACACCAATGTTAGAGTATTTATACAACCCTTTTTTTTTGAGATATATACAAGAGTTGTTACATTCTTGTACAGCCACTAGTACGCGTAGCGTTTCAGGCAGGTCCCTGGAATACGATCCCCTGCCGCGAAGAATCGTTTTTTCATCCAAGTACACATTTTACTGTTGCGTTAAACAGAGGCTACAGTTAAGGAATTGCGCCCAGTAAATCCTCCCCGGCCAGGATACGAACCCATGACATAGCGCTCGCGGAACGCCAGGCGAGTGTCTTATCACTACACCACGGAGACTGTTAAACCCTTATATATATATACAACTCTGCGGGCCGCAGGGACATTGATCCCCACTATCATCTCCTGGTAACCTCACTATAATGGTCTGAAAATGCTGGATAATAAGTAGGAAGAGAATGGTGGAAGTAATTATATAATAATGACCATTAAATGCTGCCACATCTCCCATGGCCCTCACTTTACCATGGTCTTAACTTTACCATGGTCCTCACTTTACCATGGTCTTAACTTTACCATGGTCCTCACTTTACCATGGTCCTCACTTTACCATGGTCTTAACTTTACCATGGTCCTCACTTTACCATGGTTCTCACTTTACCATGGTCCTCACTTAAGGGAGCAGGCCAAAACGATTTTAGAATACATTAAGAGATAAACGTAACAACGATAACGACAATGGGCCACAGATTAAGATTTTTTAAAATAGACAAATTTAATACATGAAAAAAACGTAATAATCCCAGTAATGAGAAGTAACGCCGCCAGCATAGCACTCATTACCCTAAAGGCCAAAGACCGTTGGCCGCTATGTTAACGTTATGTTAATACCTAACGTTATAACGAGCAGTCTGAATAATACCATATAAAATTTAGCATCACCGGGGACTGTCATTAATTGATAAATCCAAGACGTGAAACATTAAATTTGTTAAATAATAAATTTAAAACATCACCGAACAGGTGCAAACGGGAAATGACGAGAGTAAGGTCAAGCACAACATAGAAATCACTGTATAAATAGATGAATAAGAAAACGTCCCACACTGGGAGGAGGAAGTAGGCAGGGAAACCCTAACCTTAACATTAAACTAACATTAACGTAGCATGTATAACACAAACACCAGTGGTTAAAAAGGGGCAAAATAAGGGATTTAACATAAACAACCGTTGCCAAATGTAAACTGTAAAATCCTGCCCCGGAACATCAGCAGCTGGAACACCGCAGCTGGAACACCTGCAGCTGGACATCGGCAACTGGAGCATCAATATCTGCTGAAGATAAATAAACAGTGGCAACTGGGCACCAGGGAAAACTTCAGTGATAAGTAGAAGGCCAACTGCAAGACAATTAGGGACCATTAGAACCTGGGAGCCAACGTTAAGGGGAACGCTGGGAACGAACTAAAGCTAAAGCTTTCCCCTGCCAAAAGGGGCTAGAATATCAGCAGCTAGCACGTCAGCAGCTGGAATAACAACGCTAAAACAGCAACAGCTGTAACATCGACGGCTGGGACAGCGACAGCTAGAACATCAGCAGCTGGCACCTCAGCAGCTGCCGAAGATACAAAATTAGCAGCAACGGGCCAAGGGGGAAACTGCAGTAGTAAGGTAAGTGCAACTGCAAAACAATTTATGCTCAAAATAAGGCTGGAATATAACTCATTAGAGAAAACGGGATTAATACAGGAAGCTGAAAATAAAAATACAATCAAATACAATAAACTGAAAAGGAGTGATAATAATAGGCACAACGTCAGCTGGAACCCCGCCTGCTGGAACTTCGGGGGCTGGAACGTCAGCAGCTGGAACCTCGAGAGCTGGAACGCAGTAGCATGGACATTAACAGTTGGGACCGCATCAACTGGAACATCAGGAACACCTTCAGCCGGAGCATGGCAGCTGGTCCAACAACCGCTGGAACGTCAGCAGCTGGACCGTGTTCCACCTGAACAGCAGCAAGCTGGAACAGCAACAGTTGCACCCACAGCAGCTGGAACAGCAACAGCTGCACCCACAGCAGCTGGAACACCAACTGCCGGGAACGTCAGCAGCCGGAACACCAACAGCTGCAGCAGCTGGACACCAAAGCTGAGCAACAACGTAGTTCAAGTTGTTCGGTTAGTTCGATTGTGACAATTCTCAAGACAATCGTCACAATTCTCAAGACATTCTCAAGACAATCGACTTGAGAATGGTCCAGGACGGACCGAAACGTCCTCGTCCCTTCACCTTCTAGTGTGTGGTCTGGTCAACATACTTTAGCCACGTTATTGTGACTCATCGCCTGCAATGAACGATAAGTTAGTACCTAGTGCTGTGAGTAATGCATTTATATCGTCAAAATGTTTACCAAGTGATCTAACATTTTGGTTATAAACTGATAAGCAGGTGCTCTTTTGGAGTTTGTTTTTTGCCTGGTGTGCTGTGTAATACTTGCAATAATGTTTTATTTATTTATTTATTATTTATTTTACTTTATTTATTTATTTATTATTTATTTATTAATGATGATCAATGTGCTGGTTGGTGTAGATATGAGACAAGATTTAGATCAGGATCAATATCAGTGTGCATGGAAATGCAGAGGGATACAATAAGACAAGCAATTACAGAAACAGATAAATACTAATTATAGCAAAACACAAGAATATTAGCAAATACACATAAAATAGTAACAAATTAGAAGTAAAATAAAGATCCAATAGATAGCCAGGAAGGACACAGAAGTTAGATAAAAGAAGAAAAGCAAAAAATCAGTGAAGACTGACAATATAAATGTAAAATAAAAATAATAATCATAAAGTAAAATGATCTTAAAGATAATTAGCTTAGTTATGGTTAGTTAAAATCCTATAATTAGTATGAACCTAAGAAAACAAAGTGAGCTCAAATAGATAATTTAAAAAATGACATATGCCATTCTAAGTGAATCTAGAAATTTACTCTAATATAAATTTAAGTGAAAAATAAACAGGGTGAGATAATGTGGAATGACCTTTCCAATCATGTTTTTATTTATTTATTTACTACTAAATAAAATAAATAGAATAAATAAAGTAAATAAATATTTGTATCACACCCTGTATGTATGTATGTACTTTACCTGAATAAACATTTGATTTTTTTAATTTGAATTTTGTGGTCACAGTGCTATAGCTGCCCCTAACCCCACAACAACAACAACACACACTGGGACGATTGTTGCCGTGGTCAGAGCGCTATAGCTGCCTCTAACCCCACAACAACGACACACACTGGGACGACCGGACGAGTGTTGCCGTGGTCACCACCGCTGTTGGGTAGGGAGATGGGATGAGAGGGGAGAGGGTAGGAAGATGGGGGTGAGAGGGGGAAGGTAGGGAGATGGGGTGAGAGGGGGAGGGTAAGGGAGTTGTAGGTAAGAGGGGGAGGGTAAGGGAGTTGTAGGTAAGAGGGGGAGGGTAAGGGAGTTGTAGGTAAGAGGGGGAGGGTAAGGGAGTTGTAGGTAAGAGGGGGAGGGTAAGGGAGTTGTAGGTAAGAGGGGGAGGGTAAGGGAGTTGTAGGTAAGAGGGAGAGTGGGGGGGGACAGTAGGGAGATGGGGTGAGAGGGGGGAGGGTAGGGAGATGGGTGTGAGAGGGGGAAGGGTAGGGAGATGGGTGTGAGAGGGGGAAGGGTAGGAAGATGGAGTGAGAGGAGGAGGGTTGAGAAGGGGAGGGTGAGAGGGAGAGGATAGGGAGATGTAGTGAGAGGGAGATGGGGTGGGTAGGGAGATGGAGGGGATGAGAGGGGCAGGGTAGGGAGATATGGGGGATGAGAGGGGAGACGGTAGGAAGATAGGGGGCGATTCTACCTCCAATGTCATAGAATTCTTAGGGACATGTGGGTAAGAGGATAGGGAATAGAGGCAAATGGAGAGATGGGAGTGAAGAGGAAATGGAGAGTGGGGAGTTGCAGGAAAGGGGAGGGAAAGGAGGTAAGTGGGGGGGAGCACGAGAGAGGATGGGGGTAGAGGGGTAGGAAAGAGAGATAGAAAGAGAGAGTGAGTGACTATTCTAAGTACTGCTAAGTAGCCGTTCCAGTAAGATTATAAACCCATGGAACCACCTACCCGCTGATGCCATGAATGCAAAGACTTCAGATGTAAAAAGAATAACTAAATTTACTAATTTTGCATCAAATATTATTAGCCATACCAGAAATATTTCTGAGCCTTAGATATGTTACATGTTTTACCCATAGTGATGCTACAATTTGATCTTAACCTTTTATGAATCAGCACATCCAAACATTATATCTAAAACATTTTGTTTACAGGTTATCATGGCAAACTATCCTGTTATCATATTTCTGTTTAGTGGCAAGCGCAAGTCAGGCAAGGACTACATCACAGATTTGTTACAACAAAGGTTAGTGATATTCAAATTGAATTAATAAAGTACACAAACTTACTGAAATATATGGTGTTTTAGGTAGCTTTCTGTATTATATAATGCAATTTATCAAAATGTAAAAATGACATCTACCGTACAGTATATACTAGTGTATGAGTCGACATTTGAAACCTAAAAATCAACAAAACCAGGGGGTATGTGGTTTATATTTGGCGATGTTGAATTGCCCACCAATTATAAAATGTGAACATTGTACAACACTTGCCATAACTCTCACAGACCATCATAATTATTATCTACTGAAACTCACGATTGGTAAGTCTCTTTAATGTAGAGATTATATTAATAACAATGACTTGTAACTCATAGGGTAGGTTACTGTAAGTTCTTTAATATTAGGGTAGGCTGGTTTCCTCTGAGTTAAAACTTACCAGCAACAAAAGTGTTTTAGGAAAAATCAGTAGGAAAAATCTGAAAATTTCAACTACAGCGGTGTCTCGGTTAACAAATTTAATCTGTTCTGGCACTGAGCTCATCATGTGAAACACTCGTCTTGTGAAACAATAACAACACTTGTCGGAGGCATTCGAGAACCAGCGGGAACGCTAGGAATCATCATGTGGTTTTCTTGTTAACTGAGCGGAAGCGCGTCAATCGAGACAAATTTTCTGCGAGTGGCTCACTCGTTACCTGAAATTCTCGTAGATGGAGCCGCTCGTCACCCTAGGTTCCACTGTACTGTACTGTACATTATTTAAAAAAACCAGCGTTGAATGTAATGAAACGCCATTTTCTGGGCGAGACCCGGAGGCTCCCTGGAGCTAAACCAGGCTGATTTGCTAATGTCAGGCTTTGGCATCAGTCATGTGTATGGAGTTCTAGGTCCTACCGGGGACCACGGCCAGAACCTGGCCCCCTCAGAGAGGCAAGGAGAGCAATGGCCTATAGAAACCCCCGTGTGGTTGGAAGCATTCTATGTCTGCCATCTACCGAGTCAAGCATCCAGTAAACAAACATTCAAAAACAAAGCATTCCAAAGTAAAGCATTCCAAAACAAACCCCTATTCTGGTTAAAATTGCTACCAAAAGCCAAACTAGTGGATAGAACTCCCCAACAGAAAACAAGCACACTAGTATGATGTCACACGTCACCGTGCCGCTGTCTGCACAGCTCCCCCCTCCCCGGGAGGGGGAAGAGGGAGCCCCAGACCTCTCACGCTGGCTATCCACCCATCAGTTCTTTGACTGATGCTATAGGCACTGGTTGTCTGCTCCAGCTCCATTAGTTGTTTCACCACTGTACCTAGAGTGTGGTGTCTGTCTTCTAGGTGGTGCGTGAGCCGGGAGTGAGTCTCCAGTACTCGGGCTGCATGCGCCTAGGGTTACCTTCCCTAGGTGCCCTGTAAATACTGCCCTTGGGGCTTGGGGCTACCTTCCACAAGTTCCTTGGGTTCTGCCCCTGCTAGGCCGTTTACTGCTTGGTTTTCGGCCACCCTTTGTGTGCTTGGGTGTTCTGTCTCCCTTAGGATAAGGGGAAGTTTTGCATTGGTGGGGCGCAGGGTGCTGCGCAGCCTGTTTTCACCTATATGGCGGCCGGCTCTGTTCCGCCTGGGTACGCTGTCCTCTTGCAGGGTGTTTTTTATTTTTGTTTATCTGCCTGGTGGGGTGTCTGCCTTCGTTCTTGCCCCCTGTGTCCCTTGTGTTCTGAGTATTATTCTGGTGGTTCCCCCTGTTAGGTCCCCGTGAGTGCACACGTCCCGGGGGTTCAACTCTTAGAAAGTTGTTTGGTAGCTTTGGGAGCCGGTTAGCAGTACCCTGTCTAGGATTACCTGAGCGAGAGTCCTATTATAGTAAACACTCGGGACCCTGGGAAACCCCTGGGGGCGCGCGGGTCCGATGGATGTGACCCCGGAGTCCCCCCTCACTTTCAGCGAGTTTGAGGGTTGCTCTCACCCCTTGTCTCAGGGTGACTCTCTGTTTTACCTCCGTCTGCTGCCTGTGGGGTCGGTGACACCGTCGACCCGGAGTCCTGCAAGTTTTGTTGCTCGTTGGGGCTCGGTTACCCAGTTGTATGCTGATTAAATGGGTGCAGGCAGCAGGGGCGTTGCACAGTGAGCTTTGGAGGTGATGCTAGGCAGCTGGCGCGGTAGGTCCGGGGCTCCCCCCTCCCCCTCTCGGGGCAGGGAGGGCTGCGCGGACGATCGGCGTGGCAGTAAAGTGTGATGTTTGCTTGTTTCCTTGGGATTGTTGGGAGTTTCTACCTCTTTGTTTGTTTTATTGTTTTAGTTTTTTACCATGTGGGGTTTGTTTTGTTATGCCTACCTTTCTGGGTGCAAACCCCGGTCGATGGCAGATAAGGAAAACCCCAACCACAAGGGGGTTTTCCAGGGCCATTGCTCCCTGAAACCTCTCTGAAGGGGCCAGGTTATGGCGCTGGTCCCTGGTAGGTCTGAACTCCTTAGCTAATGTCCCGGTCTAATATAACATACATTAGCCCGATAAGCTCCAGGGTGCCTCTGGGGCTCACCCAGAAAATGGCGTTTCATTACATTCAACGCTGGTTTTTTATTGTCTTTCATTCTAAATATAATCAATAGCCAAATGACTTATAAAATGATGAATATTCTTCTACAATATTCTGAATGATAAAAGACAAGCTCCTCTTGAGTAAATTGTGTTGAATCACACATATGCATTTCTATTGTTATTCTTTAAATTAATTTATTATCTTTATTTATTTTTCCACAATAACATTATGACAATTTTTCCACAGGCTGGATAAAACCCAGGCCAAAACCATACGTCTGTCTGGCCCTATTAAGCAGCAATTTGCTACAGATAATGGCTTAGATTATTCCCAGCTCTTAACAGCTTCAGATTACAAGGAAGTGTACCGTCTGGAAATGATAGCTTGGAGTGAAGCAAAACGAGCTCAAGATAAAGGATTTTTTATTAAAGCTGCAATAGACATGTTTGAAGGTTAGTCAATTTCTTTAAATGTTATATCTGTGGGAGCTGAAGTACTCTAGATAGTGGGGTGTAGCGTATGTGAAGTTATGCTTGGTTCTGTCTCACTTACACCAATTTACCTGAGGGCCATCATCATCCTCCTGTTCTCCCTCTGACTTTGAAGAGGACAGGAAGCTGGGAAGTGGAACCCAGCACCAATTGGCGTGTTACTGACACACACATTAAGTGATCTTTTCTGTTTTTCCATAATGATTTACAACCTTTCTGGAAAAGGAAGGGGGAAGACCCCGCCATAGCTCCTCATTGCTAACAACTGGTTGTGTTTAACCTAACTGCCCCTAGGTGGCAGCACAGGTCACCAGAGACTCCAGTCAGCCAACCTCCTTATTCATTCACGTGCTCTTGCTTAGGATGCTTCCATCCTGCCTGGGCTCCTTCATGTTTAACCCTTCAGCTGCACAGGCGATTTTACCATGCAACACCCAGGTGCACATTAATTAAATTCTTCTGAAAAAATTATTTGTTCTTTTGACAATGCCTGATCAAAATATTCCCTCTTTTTCTTTGTGCCTAGTCCTGGCTCGGCATGCACGCTCTCACTTCTGGATGGCCCAGCACTTGCACCATCCAGCACACCCCAAGGTCGGTCGGGTATTGCCCGTGAGCACTCCGCCACACTTCAATGTTTAAACTTTTTCCAGTTTTCTGACCATATTTTTCATGCTACGTTGTTCATTTTAGTATCAAATTGTTTGTAATAGAATGGGGCACATTTTAACCCTTGGAGCCGGTGGCTGAGCGGACAGAACACTGGTCGCGTGAAACTGTGGTTCCGGGTTCGATCCCGGGTGCCGGCAAGAAACAATGGGCAGAGTTTCTTTCACACTGATGCCCCTGTTACCTAGCAGTAAATAGGTACCTGGGAGTTAGTCAGCTGTCACGGGCTGCTTCCTGGGGGTGGAGGCCTGGTCGAGGACCGGGCCGCGGGGACACTAAGTCCCGAAATCATCTCAAGATAGACCGCGAAAAAAAAAAAATAAATAAATAAATAAATAAATAAATATATATATATATATATATATATATATATATATATATATATATATATATATATATATATATATTATATATATATATATATATATTTAATTAATTTGAGAAACAAAACCGGAACCACGCAATACATTAATAGCTGTTTTAGTGTCTAGTGCCTTAATTTAAACACCCCGCGTGGGATAGGAGCAACTATAGTGCAGCCACGACCGATAGTTGACAGACGGCACTATGGTCTTTGGGCACCATACCAGCTTATTCGTACAGGTATGGTGAATAAAATAGGTAGATACTTATATATAATGTGTGTATATAGCGTAATAACACCTTAAACAATATTGTTGGAGGAGAAATATTAGTGCGTCTAACCTTGAGTGCAGCCGCCACCAGCTGACTGTGTGAGTAGCTACATCTTATTGCCTTTACTCACCATACAAGCTTAGATGTACAGTTATGGTGAACAAAACATGTAAATACTTATATATAACTTCTGTGTATAGTGAATAAATGCAAAAACAGTATTGTGGGAGGAGAATGAGAGCGAGTGAGGTGTTGTTGATGGAGGGAGTGGCAGCGAGTGGCTGTCTGGTGTGTGGCGGTCACTCCTCGTTGCATTTTGACTCACAATACCAACTTTATGGTTCGTTATGGTGAGCAAAACATGCAGATACTTATATATAACCTGTGTATATAGTGTAATAACAGCAAAACTATTTGTTTATTGTTATATGAACATAATAATTGAATCACTAATATGCACACCATAATTTGGAGTACAGCAATGGTTCACACATTTTATTATATAAATATATCACAATACATACTATTGAATAATATTACTGCAAAAAAAAAAAGAAAAATCAGAGACATTGAAATAATTAGGTAATAATATATTTGTGTCAACTGCCGCCTGACAGCTTGGGCAGAGTAGACCTCGTCTGGCAAAGGCTCTGTCAACGCTCCTTTTTTGCCAGACTTTCGTACCCTATTGCGGCTAAAATATGCCACCTACGATTTTTTTGTTATTTTTTCCGTGATCAGAGAACACAAATGATCACTTATAAGACGAAAGAATTTTTTATATTTTTTTTGTTGTTGCGCCTGTGGGTGATGAAGCCATTATGACCCTTAGCGGCCCAAGGGTTAAAACAACTCCAATAATAATCGGACAATAGATTTTTGGCACTGTACTGTATTTTATTTCAATACAGTAGTACCATTAATAGCAATGGTAACATCATTGGCCAGGATACATGAGTTTTTTAGATGACTGCGTGAACATCATTGACCTGGGATAGTGTTCTTAAAATTAATTAATTAGCATCCAGGAACGATGGAAACCCAAATATAAAGTCTTGTTTTGGGGCTCCTATCTTTCTGGGTGCCTGACCTGGTCGATGGCAGACATAGAATGCTCCCAACCACACAGGGTTTCTATAGGCCATTGCTCCTCGTGCCTCTCTGAGTGAGCCAGGTTCTGGCTCGTGGTCCCCGGTAAGCAAGAACTCCATGCACTTTAATGCCAGACAGCTAATAGTTACATATCAGCCTGGAACGCTCCAGGGAGCCTCCGAGTCTCGCCCAGAAAATGGTGTTTCATTACATTCATCGCTGGTTTTTTAAAATTACGTTGTGACAATATTTATCAAACTTGTTTTAGTAATTGAAATGTACGTCGGTTGTTCGATTAGTAAATATTGGAGAAAATAGCCGTACATGCACCTCATAATCTTCAAATTGCTTCCCCCCTCCCCGTGGGATGTATGCCCCATGTTGGGAAACACAACTTTGAAGCAATCAAAGGGTATCCTGGCTTGGGGCTTCTGGCAATCCAACAGTGTTGGCATCTCATTATTTATTATGTGTCCATCAGATTCAGTGCACTTGTGTTTTATTATGGCTTGGTGGTACCAGAACAAAGGTTGGGAGCTATTAAGGACCTACCAGACAATGACAAACAACCTGTCCTCACATTAGGCTCTTTAAAGCAGTGGTCATCCTCCCCAGATGCATTCATCAGTTTTAACATACTGTGTATTAAAAATTGGCTTGTTCTCATATATAAATTAATATTCTTGTACATAAAATTTCTTTGTATAGTTAGGTGTAGGTTTTGTTGGCGATTATTTGTATTTGAAGTACATGGGTGAAGCATTTATAGAATTGTGGTTTGAACTGAGGACATGAGCAAAGCGCTTGTTCCGGAAGTGTTCGGACGTCATCAGTTGGGAGTCGTGTGTAAACCGCTTTTCATTCATAAACAGAGGGTTTGGTGGCTGGATTAACGAGCTTGGATTTTTGTATGCGAGGACGAGCTGGGCAATTACAGTACTGTATTGTGATTCACTTTTGGCATTAGGGGCAGTTCACCTTGGTAGTGAATTGAACTTTGATTCTTGCATACTCTACAGCCCCATAGATAGGGTCAAATATTGTTCCTTGTTTCCAGAAGCCTTATGATTTGAATGTGGCTCAGAAGCACCAGTGCAGTAACCCCCGAAGATATAGTGGTGATGCGTAGAAAAAGACTTTTCATTACACTTGACATTTTATTTTCTACTTTGTACTCCACCAGGTAGTAGATATCCAGTTTGGATTGTCAGTGATATGAGAAGACAAAGTGATCTTGAATGGTTTATGCAACACTACAGTGATTTAATTTATACTGTTCGTATTACTGCATCTAAAGAAGCAAGAGAGCAGCGGGGATGGGTGTTTACATCAGGTGTGTACCGTATGGTTTTTCTTGAGCACTGTTCATCCAATATTTGTTTAATGTACCAAAATTATTACTGTATGGTTCTGACAAAATAGTTTTAATTTTCTTGGAGTGGGTGCACTTTGGCGTGGTCCAAGCAATGAGACAACGTCTTGTTCAGACAACGTCTCAAGAGAGACGTCTCTCAGGTGGGTTTCCCATCTGTTCCCAGTCCTTAAACGGGACTGTAATTACTTAAGTGTAATTACCTAAGTGTAGTTACAGGATGAGAGCTACGCTCGTGGTGTCCCGTCTTCCCAGCACTCTTTGTCATATAACGCTTTGAAACTACTGACGATCTTGGCCTCCACCACCTTCTCACCTAACTTGTTCCAACCGTCTACCACTCTGTTTGCGAAAGTGAATTTTCTTATATTTCTTCGGCATCTGTGTTTAGCTAGTTTAAATCTATGACCTCTTGTTCTTAAAGTTCCAGGTCTCAGGAAATCTTCCCTATCGATTTTATCAATTCCTGTTACTATTTTGTATGTAGTGATCATATCACCTCTTTTTCTTCTGTCTTCTAGTTTTGGCATATTTAATGCCTCTAACCTCTCCTCGTAGCTCTTGCCCTTCAGTTGTGGGAGCCACTTAGTAGCATGTCTTTGCACCTTTTCCAGTTTGTTGATGTGCTTTTTAAGATATGGGCACCACACAACCGCTGCATATTCTAGCTTTGGCCTAACAAAAGGCGTGAACAATTTCTTTAGTATATCGCCATCCATGTATTTAAAAGCAATTCTGAAGTTAGAAAGCGTGGCATAGGCTCCTTGCACAATATTCTTTATGTGGTCCTCAGGTGATAGTTTTTTATCTAGAACCACCCCTAGATCTCTTTCTTTATCAGAATTCTTTAAAGATTTCTCACATAATATATAGGTTGTGTGAGGTCTATGTTCTCCTATTCCACATTCTATAACATGGCATTTATTAACATTAAATTCCATTGCCAAGTGGTGCTCCATATACTTATTTTGTCCTGGTCAACTTGAAGGGCATGACAATCATCTAAGTTTCTTATCCTTCCTATTATCTTAGCATCATCAGCAAACATGTTCATATAATTCTGTACACCAACTGGTAGATCATTTATGTAGACAATAAACATCACTGGTGTAAGAACTGAACCCTGTGGTACTCCACTTGTGACATTTCTCCAGTCCGATACATTGCCTCTGATCACTGCCCTCATTTTTCTATCAGTCAGAAAATTTTTCATCCATGTTAGAAGCTTACCTGTCACCCCTCCAATATTTTACAGTTTCCAGAACAACCTCTTATGTGGAACTCTGTCAAAAGCCTTTTTTAGGTCCAGATAGATGCAGTCAACCCAACCATCTCTTTCCTGTAATATCTCTGTTGCTCGATCATAGAAACTGAGTAAATTCGATACACAGGATCTTCCAGATCGAAAACCATACTGTCTGTCTGATATTATATAATTTCTCTCCAGGTGTTCTACCCATTTAGTTTTAATTATTTTTTCCAATATTTTGACTATTACACTTGTCAGTGATACCCGTCTATAATTAACGGGGTCTTCTCTGCTTCCACTTTTGTAGATTGGAACTATGTTAGCCTTTTTCCACACATCAGTGACAACTCCTGTAAACAGGGATGCCTGAAAAATCAGTTGAAGTGGAATGCTGAGCTTAGGTGCACATTCTCTCAGAACCCATGGTGAAACTCCATCTGGACCAACTGCTTTGTTCTTATTTAGCACCTTGAGCATTTTCTCCACTTCATCTCTAGACACCTCAATGTGCTCTATGTTGTTCTCTGGAATTCTTATTGTATCTGGTTCCCTGAAGATTTCATTTTGTACAAACACACTTTGGAACTTTTCGTTTAATGTTTCACACATTTCCTTTTCATTTTCTGTGAATCTATTTCCCATTTTCAACCTCTGAATATTATCCTTTACCTGCAATTTGTTGTTTATAAATTTATAGAATAGACCTGGTTCTGTTTTGCATTTGTCTACAATCCCTTTTCAAAATTTCTTTCTGCTTCTCTCCTCACTGCCGTGTAGTTGTTTCTCGCATCTTTGTAACGATGGTATGTTTGGGGGTTTGGCCTCTTCCTGTATTGATTCCATTTTTGTGTCTTTTGGTCTCTGGCCCTCTCGCAATTTTTGTTGACTGTGCGGACCTGCGGTTCATTATGGACTTGTCCCGTCTGAACCCCTGAGTTCATTCCCCCCCCCCCTCCTTTTGGATGACTACTCTGTCTCAGGTCCAACATCTGTTGGAACCAGGCACTTGGATGGTGTCCCTGGACCTCTGGAACATGTATTGGCACATCTCAATTCATCCAGGGTTCAGGGACTGGCTCGGTTTTGTTTTGAATTTGAGGCCAGAGAAGCGTCTATCCCAGTTGACACTAGCTTGGGAACTGAAGGCAGCCGGCGCGGTGAGATCCGGGGTCCACCCCTCCCCCTCCCGGGGGGGAAAGGCTGTGCGGACGACCGGCGCGGCAGTAAATTGATTGATTGTTTGTTTTCTTTGGGATTGTAGGGAGTTTCTACCTCTCTGTTCTGTTTTTTGTTGCAGTTTTTACCATGTGGGGTTTGTTTTATTATGCCTACCTTTCTGGGTGCCTGACCCCAGTCGATGGCAGATAAGGAAAACCCCCAACCATATGGGGTTTTCCAGGGCCATTGCTCCCTGAAACCTCTCTGAAGGGGCCAGGTTCTGGCGCTGGTCCCTAGTAGGTCTGAACTCCATAGCTAGTGTTCCGGTCTAACATAACATACATTAGCCCAATAAGCTCCAGGGAGCCTCCGGGGCTCACTCAGAAAATGGTGTTTCATTACATTCAACGCTGGTTTATTATTATTATTATTATTATTATTTTTATTATTATTATTATTATTAAATGTGTATAATTCTACAATGAGTACACTAAATGAGCTGAACTTTGTGAAGACTGCTTGCTTAACAAATGTGTATAATTCTACAATAAGTACAATACCTACCTATTTCAAAGTGTTTAATTTCTCCTCAGGAGTTGACGATGCAGAAAGTGAATGTGACCTTGATAATGTCTCTAACTGGGACCAAGAGGTAGATAACAGCAATGGCTCTGAACCTATAGATAAGTTGTTAGACCATTTGACTACCCTGTGTAATGAAAAGTTAAGTGGTGTAGTTGGAAACCCCTAAAAAGAAAATTTAAGAACTTCAAGTTATTACTGTAATAATAACTGTTAATGTTTTTCAGTAACTGATATTAAATATGAAACTAAGAGAATGAATGTTATATAGAGTTCTAGCCAAAGCATTTATATTTCTTAATTGCCACTTTCTGTGGGGAGCCCTTACGGCTCCCTGGAGCTTATCGGGCTAACCCCGATAAGCCAACCCTCCGGTTTCCCTGGGGGTTCTGTCAGGGGGCTGTGCTTTGCCTTTCTGTGGTGTTTCTCTGCCGGCAAATGTGTTTTTGACTCCCCCTGGTTCGATTCTGGGTTCCTTTGGGTTCTTTGGTTTCGTTCCGGAGGTTTCTTCCTCTTGGGGCCCCCTTTGTGGGTTCAGGGGGCTTTGTTTCCTCGTGTGTGACCCGGTTCTGCCTTCTGGAGTTCCGGGATTTTTCCTGGCTTGCAGACTGATCTTTTTAGGTCTTGGCACGTGTTGTGGTTGTGCTGGGATTTGAAGTTTTGTTGTCGAAGTGGGCCTTTTGATGCAGTTTTGTGCCCTCTTCGCCTGGCCGGCGTGGTGCTCTCTGCCCACTGGTTGGTGGCTTGTAATTTTCTTTTCACGTGTATGTGTGTGTGCACATGTACATGTGTACACTGTGTATTTGTGCACATGTACATGTGTACACTGTGTATTTGTGCACATGTACATGTGTACACTGTGTATGTGTGCACATGTACATGTGTACACTGTGTATGTGTGCACATGTACATGTGTACACTGTGTATGTGTGCACATGTACATGTGTACACTGTGTATGTGTGCACATGTGTATATACATACACATGTGTGTGTAACATACCTTGTGTGTATGTGTATATACATAATATATAATACATAATATGTGTATGTGTATATACATAATATATAATACATAATATGTGTATGTGTATCTTTTCTTTCGGAAGGGGCTCTGTTCCCTTCTCTGTTGACGGGGCGCTGGGGGAGCAGCTTGCTCTGTTGACTCTTGCATGGTCCCGCATTTAGTGGGTGCTTTTGGTTGTCTTCCGGCCTCTGGTGGCGGCAGTGGACGGCTTCTCCCCCTTTGGGGAGTTCAGGGCTGGCGGGGTGGGCTTCTTCCCCTGCGCTTCGTCATGTCATATTAGTGGGAGCGTTGGACGTGGTCGTTCTGCCCCATCCTTCTGGGGTTCCCGTCTGCTCTTTGCAGACATGGGCCTGTCGAATCTGTGGTTCTTCTCGACTTCTTAAGTCTGCGCCC